TTGGATTAATGGCTTAGAATGATTTCATGAAGATGTAGAAACCAAAGAGCTCTCAGTGTTGACATAATGAACACATCAGCCACTATGTGTCACCTACAGAGTTGTTGCACTTCCCGTTCTTAATATCTTTGTAAAAAGCACCTTGAGCATGAAAGCCATATAGAGAGAGCCACCTCCTTTTCTATTCTTTTCTGTTTTGCCATGAGAGTATATTTCATGGTCTAGTAAAGCATTGATTCATAACTTATTAATACTGTCAAAGTTTTAAATACATCTTCTGAGGATATAATGTACCATCTGAAACTTTAATTCTCTATCAATAGAAGTGAACAGATATTTTTAGGCTGGGAGTTTTAAAGAGTCAAGGAAGTTAGGCATCAACTCCCATTGAAATTCAGTGTTAGTTAGATGTTCAAATCCCTGCTGTAATATTTCCTCCCTTCCTACTACATATTAGTAGTATTTATCTGTATTGTGGTAGTGGCTAGGAGCCCTAGTCATGAACCAGGACCCCATTGTGCTGTAGACACACAGAACAATGCACCTATCTAGATAATTTGCAAAGTATACACTCTGGCTAGAAATCGCAAAACATTGCTCAGAGGGAGGAGTGACGCAGAAACACTCAGCTCTGTAGCCTCGGACTGCTCGTAAAAATATAAACAAAGCAGATGCTCAGTTAGAACATTCTGAACCATTTCAAGTGTTACTGTTACTGTGAATTATCTGAGGACCTTTAGTATTAGCATCTGTGGCTTCTACGCTCTTCCACAATGATTCTCATCTGCTTGCCTATGCTAAAGATCTCCAATTGTTTGTTACAGAAATTAAATGAATGAACTCAGCACCACTGTAGCTGCCCAGGGAATTATTTTTGCTTTAGTTTGTTCCCATCTAGCTTTTAAGGGTGAAATTCACTCCAGGGCAAGGGACACACAAGTTCCGATGCATCACTTAAGACCTCATCAAAGTGATTCCTAGGGCCTTGAAGTGAATTTTGCCCTAAGTACATAGGGTAGACAAATAAAAATGGTAACCTCAAACTAGTTATTTAATGGTGCATGGTAATTTTTGTGTATGTGCAAAAAGATCTTTAAAACAAGATACTCTTTACATTTGGAAAAATAAAGTCTGGAGTTACATTGGCATGACGAGCAGAACTTGGCCCACAGTTTTGAACAGAAGCTTGTAGGATTTATTTTCTGTGCTTAAATATAGGCCAAGATCTGAGTTAAATTTCCCCTCTCATTCTCAAAGCCTAACCACCCATGGTCATCTTTTCAACTCTGAGATGCATAGCCCAAGCATATCAGTGTCACAAGAGGAAAAGCCATGCAGTGACCTCAATCCATAGTAGATCTCCTACTGATATTAACAGGAGTCGTGTGTAAAAAGCAAGGGCAGCTCTAATTGTTTCTAGCCCATAAATGATCGTTCTGGTCCTTCGCTATTGGTCTTTTCATAGTGTCATAGAGTTTAAGGCCAGAGGAATGATTAGATCTCTAGTCTGACTACCTGTATATCACAGGCCATTCATTTTCACCCATTTACACCTATTTTGAGCCCAAAGGCTTTAATTAGGCCAAAGCATTTCAGTCCTCAGGAGATTAAACTCTGTCTCACAGGCAGTGAACAGAAGAAACCAAGGTGCCACCAATGCCTGAAGCCCCTGCAATGGCAGGCCATTGCTGAGGTGAGAAATGCCCAGATGACCCCAGCCGGTGAACTACACCCTATGCTGTAGAGAAAGGCGAGAAAGCTCTAAGATCCCAGCCAATCTGACCTAAGTGAAAATTCATTCCTGACCCCCAAACTGGTGATTATTTGACTGTGAGCAAGACACACCAACCAGGCATCAAGAAACTGGCTTCTCTCAACCACCTCAGAGCACTGGTCTAGCCATGTCCAGTGTCTAATCTCCAGCTGTGGCCAATCTCTGATGCTTTAGAGGAAGATGAAAATCCCAAAATACAACTTGCCAACTATGCGTTGCATGTACAGAACTCTCATTAATGTGAATGGGACTTCTGTAAACACATTAATAGAGCAGCCCATTGTTCTAATTTTAATGTTTTTAGCTATTTTTATCTCTAAGCCGTAGCTTATCAAAGAACACCACTAACATTTGAAATCAACACCTTCAAAAATTAATAAGCAGCACGAGAAAACCATCTTTTTACTGTGGTGTTGGAAAACAAATTGTACATGCAGCACGCAGTTAGCCACTAACATATTTACTTAGTAAGTGTACTTTAATATCTTTTCACAATTTACCTTGTTAACAGAGAAATAAAATTTAAGTTGCTACCATGAAACACTCATCATCATCTTCCTGCAGCAACAAAAGTCTAAATGTCAAGACTGGTTGGCAAACACAAGAGTAAGTTCCAGACAGAGGCTAGTAGTAGAAGTGGAATCTGGCTCTGGGTCAGGCTTCATAATAGCTGTTCTGGTCATTCTGAAGTTCCTCTGGGTGAAGGTTCTGTGTGGTCAAAGAGATGCACCATTTAAAAAAAAATCACAGTGAGGTATGAGTGATACTCTATTCAGAAGAGTAAAGCCTTCCCCATGTTGTTGTGGGATGGGCCGGAGCCAGAGAGGCCTGCTCTTTCACTGAATCCAAGGAATTTATTAAAACATGTCCTGTAGGACCACTTACTGCCTGATGCCATTGAAATTCCAATAGCCTTAGGCCTGTGGATGCCAAGGCACCAAAGGTCCTGAGCAGGCACTGATTGCCAAAATCCCCGAGTCCAAAAGTGAGATAAAGCATCAGCAAAACAACTAGCAACCCATGGTACACAGTGTTCTTTAACTGAATTACTCCGTGAGTAGAACAAATTCTGAATCACATGATATTGGGCAGGCGAAATCCCCCAAAGGGAAGAACCACAGGTTTCCACAAGGAAGCTCCCAGATGTGGCTCGTCACCCAACCATCACTTGTCCCAATCGCAGTCTTTACTTTGGGAAAAGTTGATGCTGATCTTAAATTACCTGACACAATATGAGCCCTTCAAAAACCAAAGTGATCAAACTGTAAGTCTGTGGGAACCTGTGTGTTCAGCGGTTCTCGAAGTAAATCAAACCAGGTAGGCGCCTCTCCACTTGGAATTGTAGCTGTGGCTGGAAAAACATTAGTTTACAAGGTTAATGACTGGGAAGAAGAAAAGCCAACCTCACTCTTCTAGCCATTCAGCAGTGACTGGCTGATAAATGTAAGAAGTCTGGAGTCTAGACAGAAAATTGTTCCCCTTAAACAGGGTGCTCGGAAATATTAGTGGGGAGAGGTTTCACCGAGGAATTTTTTAGGAGTGAATCTAGTTGCTGGTGGTGTCAATTATCCCTCCTCTCGTGTGTGTGTGTCTATCTTTTATTCTTCCTGTCTTGTTTCTCTATTTGTCTGTGTCTCTCGCTTTCCCCACAGACACTCTGAGTCACCCACTGTTTTTCTTCCTTCAGGCACACTAGAGATTTGTACTTTAAGATTATAAAGTGGATTTGACTGTTTTGATGCTAATTACGTCCTTTTTTAATTCTGCTCCTGCTTCATGTGCCTATCATCAAAACCTGCTTTGCAGATGGCCAATAATGACAGCTTGATTTATGTTGAGGAGATGATGGTTTCTGACTGTCAGAACTACTCTTTTAATCTCAGCTGGCTAACAGCTAAGAATTAAGCCTGAGTGTATAATGACAATATGCATTTTTCCAGACTCCTTCAGGTCTGATTTATTGTATTCAAAAGTAGGTGCATTTGCAGCATACACAGCTGGGCACATCTGTGCAGGCAGGCACACCTCTTTCAGGTGCCGACACCTGCTATGCAGATGTAAGAATTTATCAGTTGTGCTTAGATTCATAGATTCTTAAGGCCAGAGGGGACAACGAGATCATCTGAGTGATCATATTCAGTTCCTTGTTCACGATGATCCTGTTACCAGCCTGCCTGTGACAGACCCCTAGACCCTTTTCATAGTCACTGCTTTCTAGGACAGTGGTTTTCAAACTGTGGGCCGCGACCCAGTACTGGGTCGGGGGATGTAAGGCACTGGGTCGCGGCGGCTGTTAAAAGTCCCGGTGGTGGTGCTTTCCAGCTAAGGCAGGCTAGTCCCTACCTGTTCTGACATCACGCTGCACCCCGGAAGCAGCCAGCAGCAGGTCCAGCTCCTAGGCAGTGGGGCCACAGGGCTCCATGTGCTACCCCCGCCCTGAGCAAAGGCTCCGGACTCCCACTGGCTGGTTCCAGCCACTGGGAGCTGGGGGGGTCGGTGCCTGTGGGCCAGAGCTGCACGGAGCCGCTTGAGCGCCTCTGACTAGGAGCTGGACCTGCTGCTCACCGCTTCCAGGGCTCAGGGCGGTCCGCAGTGCCAGGAGAGGTAGGAAGCCTACCTTAGCACCCCCGCAGCGCCGCTGACTGGGAGCTGTCCAAGGTAAGCCCGTGCTCCAATCCTCTGCCCCAGCCCTGAATCCCCCTCCAAACTTGGAGCCCTTTACTGCACCCCAAACCCCTCATCCCTGGCCCCACCCCAGAGCCTGCACCCCCAGCCCAGAGCCCTGACCCCCTCCTGCACCCCAAACCCCTGCCCCAGCCCAGAGCCCGCTCCCACACCATGAACCGCTCATTCCCAGCCCCAACCCACAGCCCTCGCGCCCGCACCCCAACCCTCTGCCCCGCCCTGAGCCCCTCTGACGCCCCAAACCCTCATCCCCAGCTCCATTGGTTCACGGGCATTAACAATGTTCTTCAATTGGGTCACCAGAAAAAAAGTTTGAAAACCACTGTTCTAGGATAAAGTCCCCCTCCCCTCGCATTCTGTAGATATGACCTGCATTCCTTGTTCCTAGATGTATAACTATGTATTTGGCTGTATTAAAACACATTTTGTTTGAATGGACCCAGGTTACCAAGTGGTCCAGATCCCACACCATCATTGTTTACCATTTTGACAATCCTAGTTTCATCCACAAATTTGATCAGCAATTATTTTATATTTCCAGATCACTGATGAAAATGTTGGGTAGTGTCAGGCTAGTACCAATTCCTGCAGAAAGTCCCTGGAAACACCCCCCATTGGATGATGATTCCTCATTGATGACTGCTTTGAGCTATTAGAGACACAAAGGTGGGTGCAGTAATTTCTTTTATTGGATCAACTTCTGCTGGTGAGAGAGAGAAGCTTTCGAGCCACACAGAGCTTTTCTTCAGGTCCCAAATTGTTGCTATGTGTATGGTCTTGTGTTTGTCTGTATTGAGGGACATTTTGTTTGAACGGGTCCAGCTTACTAAGTGAACCAGATTGCTCTATACAACTTTTTGTCCTCCTCATTAATTACCAGTCTGCCAATGTTCGTCATCCATAAACTTGATCAGCTGTGATTTTACATTTACTTCAGCTTGTAGGAGTTGGATCTTAAAGTGAATTTGCATGTATTACTCATTCAAAAGGAGGCTGGGCTGAGGCCCCACTGAAATGTACCCCCTTACATAAATTAGAGAGGGCTCAGGGCTGCTCTAAACCACACCCAACGGTTAGACTTCAAGTGGTCATTCTGGCAGCTGAGCATTGCCAGAATGCGGAGACATTGTGTGTTCCACCAGGCGCTACCTGAGAATCCCCAATAGCCAGGTTAAGCCAGCCTCTTTGCACTACTAGAAACCAAACTTGTTTCTCTTTAACGGTAAAAACTGACAAAGCTATAATGTAGTTTCGTTTGAGATTGTCCTACCCATTAGGTCAGACTTCCTTATTTTGGAGCCTCCCACAATTTTATGTCTATTTTATAATCCATCTGACAGTACCCTCTTCTCCTGCACGGCTCTAGCTACTACATTTCCGGCCAGAGTTGAGGTGAAGAAAAATTCTGTGTGTGAACTGCATTACAAAAATGTATCTTGTAAAAGATAAAATGTTACTTTAATATAAACATCTCTTGAAGGAACCTCTTGTCTACCCTGCCTTTTGTACCATCTGTTAAACATGGGGCCAAATTGCCTGCTATTGTAAACTGGTGTGTTTCCACTGATGTCAGAGCCAGGCCAATTTATACCAGTAGAGAATTTCCCCCAAGGTTTGTATAATTGCGGGAGTAATGCAAAGCTTTGGTTTTCTTAATGGTTTGAAAAGAAAGTTTGACAGTACTGAGCTGTTCCTGGTAGAACTTTGGTTAGGAACTTAATAAACGTAGGTATTTTCAAGACATTTTAAAATGTGCTCTTCTAGTTTGGCAGCTGAGTTAATGTTCAATTAAGTCTCTCTAACCTTGCTGCAGGGAAAGCTTGGGGACCATTTGTTATTTTAAATCCCTTTACTTTTCAACTGTCAAATTCAATTCAGGGAGCATTTACAGTTTCATTGGAAAGGTGTAATGGTGAGAGAAAAAAAGCTGTTCCAGAATCGGATGAATGATTTTTAAATGCTCAGGTGTTACAGTCTAATCTTCATAGTCCTGTGGACAGAAAGTATTATTGGGAGTATTTTCTTATCTCTATATGCAGGGAGCTACATGTGCAAATCTTCATGCCCCAGAGTGAAACTATAACCCAGGCGATTTAACCCATAGACTTACACCTGTGTATGCTTTATGGATTTACATGTATAGGCAGATTTGAGACTTTTATTTTACATGGAGTGGGCCCTTTGAAGTCAATGGAGGCCTCTTCATGGACCTCGGTGGGTTTGGATAGAGTCTGTTGTGCTGTCCAAAATGTTTAGACTAGCACAGGCTTTTCATTTAAAGGCCAAACCTCTGATTTGTTTGTGTGTTTTGCTTTGTGTTTGTTTTTTATAAAGATCATTGGATCTCACCCTCCTTCCCCCATACCCTCTTGCCTTGCCCACCTTCCCATGGGCACTCACCAGTGTAGAGGAAACAGGACAGTGGCTATGCAAGGCACCCTGCGCACGTAGAAGGGAAAGCCAACCAGCACTAGGACCCAGGAGGTGGCATCCAGCTGCCAAGGCAGTCGGGGCCTCTATTTAGGGGGCAGTTCCCCCCCCAAAAAAAAAAAACAACTATGCTCAGGGACCCCAGCTGATGATGCTGGGCCAAATCATGCAGAGGGGAGCAGATGCTGCTGGGCCCGATCCTGCACTGCTCCATTTTTGTGTCCTCACCAGCTCCGCACCCTGGGTGGCTGGCCCTCTCGCCCTGCCCTAGTTATGGCCCTGGTCAAAAGTGACCGTTTCAGAAACAACACCATGCATTAAGAAGTGGTTACGGCTTAAATAACATAATCATTCTCTTACCTACTGGGGAGAAATTCACTCTACGTTCCACCGGGAGTAGAGGAGGCTGCGTGCTTCAAGTTCATGCTGGGCATCCCTACACCTACCGTAGCACATTGTGCCCCAGTCTGTTGGATTTCTCACTGCTGTAATAACAGAATTAGAGCAAGCCCTACAGAAGGAAAATTATGGTCTAGTGGTTAAGGTACTAGCCTAGCACAGGAGAGCGCAGGGTTCAACTCTCTTCTCTGCCACAGTGTGATCTTGATCAAAACACTCAGTTTTTCTGTTCTCCATCTGTAAAATGTAGCACTTCCCTATCTCACAGGGGGTCATGAGGCTAAAATAGTGTAGGGTACTCAGGTACTATAGGTTTCAGAGGAACAGCCGTGTTAGTCACTGGAGGACTAACCAATGCTCAAATAAATTGGTTAGTCTCTAAGGTGCCACAAGTACTCCTTTTCCTTTTTCAGGTACTATAGTAATGGAGGACTTATAAGTACCTAAGAGAGATACTGATGCTAAATGCATTTCCTGGGCTCTCTGAATCAAGGCAACTATCACCCTAAATGAAATTATTTTATTTAAATCAAGCTTTAAATACTTTTTATCCGATCAAGTACTGATATGACTGTGGCATTCATGCAGTGCAGAGGCCCTGAATTTCACTTTTGGCCCATCAAAGGAGAATTGGTTGAGTTAAGTGATTTTTTTTATTATTATTATTATTTTGACATATCACTTTATATTTTTCATTTCCTGCCCTTTAGTTTCCACGGGGCTTAGTGAGCATCTCATAACCCAGTAGCCATTTTTCACCTGAACGCTGACAACATTTTTCACTCATACCCTAATGGTGAAATGTATGTTTAAATAACATTTCAAATAAACGCAGGAGGCTCTAGGTAACAGATGAGCCAGCTGGAGACGTGGATGCGTCATAGCTGGAAAGATCATAGATTCGGGTTGTTGTTTTTTTAAAATGTTCCCATTTCTAACAAGCAACCAGAAGGACCTGCCCACAAGACCGTATTTATCATCATAAACCAAGCTGTTGCGAAATATCCAAAGCAGGCAGTATATAGATTCCCGTCCCCAGAAATGAGCTTGTTATAATAATTTCTGTCCATTTTCTGAAGCATATTATCAAAATTGATATTTGCTCTCAAAGTTCTGTAAAACTTTCAGTTGTTGAGTTGAGGTGAAAAACATTTTGGAAGTTACAGCTGCAAGTCTGCATATTTTCCTCTTTTTAGCTCAGTCAGAATGGTTAGTGGATAAAACATGAATTCTTAGGGTCATATCTCGTCACCATTTCACATACTGGGCACCTGCTGAAGTCAGTAGGATGTCTGAGCATAAATCAATGGTCCTTATTGATCGTGATCTGCTGTCACCCTTACTCACCATAAGCAGTGCTTAATCAAATACTCCCATCAAAGTCAATGGAAATTCTCCCATGAACAAATATCTGTGAGTAAGGATTGGGGCCTAAACTGTGTTTCACCTTTGTCACCTTGAATCGGGTTTGAGGGATCTTACAGAATGCAGGTACTGGTTCTCGGCCTAATTCTAGCACCACAGCACTGACAGATCGGACAAAATGCAATAGACTACACAATGGCAAGGGATGCCCAGCATGAACTATAATGCAGACTGAGGAACCTTGGGGCCCATCCTTCTGCTGACATCCATGTCAATCCTCCTGTTTTCTTCAGTAGGAGCAGAATCGAGTCCCAACATGAACATAATGAGGAGAGTCCCTCTTACAGAGAACTTAACAGTCTTAAATAGTAAAGGGTCCTGTAAGCTCCATGCATAGACATGGAAATCTAGGGAAGCTTCCAGGCGTGGAGCACATCTGCAGTAAGACCATCAAGACTTTCTATAAAATGTTGCAGTAAACCACTTTTGAGGCATAGTTGGTCCTGATATTCAGTCATTGGCCTCTGTTAGCCCATGCAGATATAGCCTTGCATTTTTCAAGTGAAAACGCTTGTGTATTCACCTAGCTTTAACATATGCATTTGCACAAGTGTCCCAATCTCACTTTATAATCAGACTGAGGAATCAGTCTCGGAAAGACAAGCAATGCTTCAAGACAGGTTTCAGCGTAGCAGCCGTGTTAGTCTGTATCCACAAAAAGAAAAGGAGGACTTGTGGCATCAAATAAATTTGTTAGTCTCTAAGGTGCAACAAGTCCTCCTTTTCTTAATGCTTCAAGAGTTGTTCTCTCAGAGCGGGGCCTGTAAATCATTAGTATGCTACTGCTCTAACAGCGCATGTAAATAATAATCATTCAAAATGAAACTAACATACCTGGCACAGCTGAGACACATTGACCACAGCAGTTACTGTACTAAGCAGCCCGCAGGTTGTAGCTGTATCCAGTACAGTATCATCACCGAAGGCTTGATCATCCTCTACCGGAGAACCTCGGAAAGCCAGAGCACTTGAGATTTCTCACATACTTGACAACTGCAGCTTGTCACAGATGTGTGGCTAATACTAAGATAAAGAAGCTGTGAATGATACAGGTTCATACATTTGTGAGAAACCCATTCTAAAAAAATTACAACCAGCATGAATACTTAAGAAAGCAACAATCTGCCACTAGACTATATTTACTGTCTGAGTCCATAAATCCTTTGTGTGCATGGAAATTCTTTGGAAATGAGTATTTAAAAAAGAAATGAAACGTTGGTGTGAACATGTAAAAGCTCTATTTAATGATCCTCTACCAATATAATGGTTGGTAGCTATAAACCCATGAGAACTGGCATGATTATTGCCTGACTGGCTTATCTAATGGAAAAGGCATTTCAATTAAACTTGTCTGCGCCTCAATTTACATGATGCATTCTCGGTATTAGCCCTTTTTACACATGTAACTGCTA